GACGGGTCACATAGCCAGTAGCCCTAACGGTCGTGATTGGAGAGTTGCCGTTAGCTAAAGTTAACGGCTGTCGGTAAGAAATGACGCATTTGATGCATTGGCTAACGTTAACTGTTACCGATAAAAACCGGTCTGCGTTATTAACATCAGCGTTAATAGACACGTCTGTTTGGAGCACGGTGTGCAATGCATTGTTATTAATAGCTAAGTATTGTTGGTCAAGTAACCCGATTTCACAACGTTAACGCAAAGTTTTTAGGTTAACGTTAACTTTTATTGATGTGTATTAACTTCAGTCAGTTCAGCTTGTTAACCCTGCTTGACATTTATACCTATTCTCCTGAAACACACGATATAACGTTAGATATAAGCTGTTATGTGTTGTTCTATGGTGCAGCTACCTGTAAACAAGCAGTCTCCTTAACTGTAAGATTGTACTATAACGTTTTTAATGTAGACTTGTATAACTTGTCTTTTAGTTCTGTGGTTTCCGTCTTGTGACCATTATGCATTTTGTTGTGAATTGCAGCAAGCTCCAAGCGGGTGACATGGCAACTGGAGGCACTCCTTTTGATGACAGTGCAGAAGAGCTGCACAACTGGACTGTAACCAATGGCAGCCTGGAAGATAGACTCAACAACATGGTGAGTGCGGGTCCGAACGAGATGCTTTTTGTTTCATTTCCAGGTGATGTTACCATTGGAACACTTTCTGCTTTTATTGTACGGTCATCTTCAAAAGGTAAAGTACACGTTGCTTTGTAAAATGTATTTTGTCTCGTCACTTTCCTGGCTTATGGATGCCATTACGTTATATGCGTCTGTCGCTATGATTAATGCACATGCATAATTAAAAGTGCAAATATTTTTTTCTGTTGGTCAGGACTGGGGTGTACAGCAGAAAAAGGCCAACCGATCTTCAGAGAAGAACAAGAAGAAGTTGTCAGCTGTGGTGGTGGAGAGCCGTCTGACTAATGATATTTCGCCAGAGTCCACCCCCGGCGCTGGTCGCAGGAGAGCACGCACTCCTCATTCCTTCCCCCACATCAAATACACCACCCAGATGTCTGTCCCGGACCAGGCCGAGCTGGACAAGCTGCGTCAGCGAATCAATTTCACAGACTTGGATGAGGTGCTGTACTACATGAGAAATTGTATTTGTTTAGTGTGGTGAATGTTTGTTAATTCACATCCCAGGAATACTTTTATGTCACCTTAAAAAAGTGACATATAGCTATTCCTGTCATGTCTCATGTTTTACTAGTGCCTGTTGTGGAATATCAAGGACGTAGGATATAAATCAAATGTAATAAGTTGTAGTTCTTGTTCAGTGAAATGCCAATGCAGTGCTGTGATGAACTGGCAGGCAGTAGGTGAAGCGACAGCAGAATACTTTTCATAGTTTGGTATAGAGTTGTTTGGCTGACCTTGTTCTGCTGTGGGTGGCAGAATGACAGTGCATGAAAACGTAAATATTTGTAAGATATGGTAGCCAAACCTGATCTCATAGAGAGGATTTTGTATCAGTGTAGCAGGGGTTCTTTTATTCAATGGGCTAATACGTCCTGTTTACATGCTTGTTGCATACAGTGGGTTTAGGACATCAAATCTCACGAAAGCAATAAAATACTTGATCTGAAGCAGAAATCAGTGATCGGGGGAAATGTATTTATCATAACACAACACAATGTTGTACAATTAAATGAAAGTTTGCAGTCCCTTTATGCTACACACATAGAGAAAAAATAAACTTAACAAAAACTTACACTTACAGTATCTTAAGTGGTGATTTGTCTGACTTATATTTTCTTTTCTTACTCAGAGGAGCATTGGCAGTGACTCCCAGGGGCGTGTCACAGCTGCCAACAACCAGCGGCAGTTAGCGGGAGAGAATAAGAAGCCCTACAACTTCCTACCTCTGCATGTAAACACTAACAAAAGCAAGGAGCTGCCTCCCTCCTCCTCTGCCCCAGCCACGCCAGCTATCACCAAGGAAACTAAGAAGCAGAGTCAGGGACTGAGGGATACATTAACCCCTTTGGTTCCTGCCAAGGATACTCCAAGGCTCAGTCGTGGTAGCACCGAGAGAGGGCCCTTAGCGCACAGACAATATGGGAGAGGAGAGCCGAGAATAGACAGCAGCCAGGTGAGGTTTTGTTTTTTAGTCGGCTCTTTTTTTTGTTTAACTTCCACTTGATCACTTATAGTGTGAGTTGTAGCGAGAACTGAGCGGAGCAATGAGGTGCTGGTCTCAAAAACAAGTAGATGCTGAGATATTTTACTGAATAAGTGACCTGCTGGTGGCCTCGAGGATCGCCAAACAAAGTAAAATGTATCCTCTAGGGGACTTTCTATATTTCTAGCAAATTTCATAGCAATTCATCTAATAATTGTCAAGATGCTCCAAGCACTCTTAGTACACTCTTAGCCACAAATCTCAACGTCACGGTGGCCGTAGAGGGAAAGTCAGGGAATCTACAAAGTTATTAGGTTTCATCCTCTGGGTATCATGAATATCTATACACAATTTAACAACAACCCAGTTTTTGTCAAGATGTTTCAGTCAGGAGCAAAGTGATTGACTGACAGTCAGAACCGCGCCGCTAGTATGGTTAAAAAGATATAGATTAAATATTACATAGCCCTGGTCTAACCAAATCTGACTGACATCACTACTCTTAACACAACAATAACAAACAGTTCTGACTCCTCAGATGTTCAAATCTTTTCAAGTTCATTAAACTACTTCATAAACATACTTTGGCTTTCATTAAACATAAAGTCTAAGAGAATAAAATAATTCCAAATAAAAGATTATTAATATCAACTGATAATTTATCGCCTGTAATTTAATTATCCTGATCATTTAAAATAATATACTTTTCCCAATATTGGCCGATAATCGATATGTCCCGATAATTATCGTGCATCCTTAGATTTAATAAGCTTTCTTTTTCAGGAAGTGTTTTGTGTAAAGGTGAAATCAGTAAATTATGTTTCTTCAGTGACAACTTTTGGAAGATGTAAAACATAACAGCAGATTTTTCCTTCTCCACAACAACAAAATACATTTTAATAAATCCCCTTTAGATGTATAGCATTATCTATGTATCGGTGCACTCCAGACTACTGTGTAAATCCAGAACTAGGATGAAAGTGAGGGAGAGCCGGTGCAGCTGAAACTAGGCTGTATTTAGGGCAATTTATAAATATGCCACCCCTGGTGCCCAGTGAGTTTTCTGCCCAACCCCCTTTCTGCCCTTATTTCGCCCAGCCTGAGCTGTCGCTACAGATGCTCGCTCACCTTTCCTTACACTTTTCTCTTTATCTTCTTTTCGTTTACTCTTTCCAAACCCACACCCGTACACCGCCCTCCTCCCTTGGCGCGGTCTCAGGTGGTGAGCAAACTGGTGCAGATCCGAGAGTACATCAGTAAGGCCAGCTCCATGCGGGATGACCTGGTGGAGAAGAACGATGTGCCGGCCAACGTGGAGCGTCTCTCCCATCTCATTGACCACCTCAAGGAGCAGGAGAAGTCCTATTTACGGTTCCTGCAGAAAATGCTGGTTAGCCTGTCGTTTATTTCTTCTACCTTTTTTTTCTGTTAATCTAAGTTTGCTTTTCTTAAGCTGTCAGACAAAGGTATATCGTTTCAATAAAATGTGTTCTTTCGCGTTTACCTAATTTATGGTTGATATGGAACTTGCTTGTGTTTCTATCTGGGCAACTTGCCAAATACATGCATGTTTAATGGTAGTCTTCCCTATGACCTGAATTACTTCAACACTCATGTTTCATGTGATGATAAAATTAGGACATTCAGCAGCATGCTGCGTTCAGTTACTGCGGAATAGCTTTGTTTTGTGTTTGGTATCATTTTGCCCTGACTGGAGCCTTTCTGTGAAATGTATAGTAGTGTTTGCAGGAGACAATAAATTCACTGCAGGTTTTTTGCGCCCTAAATTCCCACATATTTATACAGCTCGCACATGCAGGCTTTCCCATATATAGAACCTTTAGGGGAGCATGTTGCTTTTCAAATCCTTTTCGGTCGCTAAGATGTTACTTGACTATGCCGAACAATCGTTGGACAAAATGGTGAACTGCATACTTTCCTGTTCTATCATTGAGTCACTGGCTGTTCGTTATCTGTCTCTATAGACACGGGAGAATGAGGAGGATGATGTAGGGACCCTGGACTCTGCAGTGGGCTCCGGTTCATTGGCAGAGAGCACTTCTCTTAACATTGAGGTCCGTTCTTCAGATGCCTCAAATGCAACGGTGTGTACATTTGTGGACTGTTTCTAAAAATCTGCCACTTTCAGTTGTCTCAGTTGAATTATGTGTAGCCATTATTATTATTATTATTATTATTATTATTATTAATAAAAGTAAATAGTTTTTACTTAAGATATGAGGAAAAAAACTACGATTCGTGTCCTTCCTCTACCTTTATTGTCATATTGTCTCATTTGCAGCGTTGGTACCTGACTAGCCTCTTTTACCTTTTCTGCTGAGTAGCACTGTAGTAATGTTGCTGTTTTGGTAGATTCAGTGTTTGTGATGCAATGTGGGTGTAAATTGTGTAGGGTTGTGGGCCAGAAACGGTTCGAGCTGACCAGAAGGAAGAGTTGGAGAATCTGCGTAAGCAGCACGAGCTGCTAAAGAAGATGCTGGAGCAGCAGGAGCAGCTCAGGGCCCTGCAGGGCCGACAGGAAGCACTAATGGCCATGCAGGACAGTGCAGAACAAGCACTTGCTGTCATTGAAGACACTGGTGAGTGCACAATAATGCATCCATTCACAATCAAGTGCAGACCAGTAGCTGTTTTTTGTTTTGTTTTTTTCTTGCATACAGAGATGCACCAGTGTCAATTAACCTTCATCTTTAATTCCTTTAATTTGTTTTTGTCATTAGTTGTCACAGAAACCACAGGCAGTGTTTCAGGCCTGAGCATTACATCAGAACTGAATGATGAGTTGAACGATTTGATCCAACGGTTCCACAACCAGCTACATGACTCTAAGGTACAATAGAATCTGCATCTGTTATAATAATCTCCTTAATAATAGTATTATGTCACCTGGAAATATTTCATACATTGAACTGTTGTTTGACTCATGCACTGCAGTTTTAAGTAAATAACAATAATAATAGTCTATCTATCATTTGACAAGTCATGTCAACTTATTTTATTGTTTAAAAACAAATTTATAGTTCAATTTTTACATTATTTATTTATTTTAGACTAAAGCAGTGCCAGACAACCGTCGGCAGGCAGAGAGCCTTTCCCTCTCTAGAGAGGTGTGCTGGTCTAGGGCCCCCCAGGCTGTTGGTCCACCTCAACACAGGCCTCTCCTCCACTCTGCCTCTGGTCCCCACACTGGCCTAGACACTGGGGCAACAGCTGCCAGTGCCAAACTCACTAAGCTCCAAGAACTCCAAGACAAAAAACAAACCATGGACAAGATCTTACAGGAGCTGCATTCACTCAGAGACCAGACACTCAACAATAACTCATGTAAGAATGTTTTCAAGGCTTTTTTATTGCAGTCATTCTGTGGCTTTTTTCTCTGTGTAGATGAACAGCATGTGGTTCCCTTCAGGTCGTGGCTTGTCAACACAGTGCAGTCTGAGCATGGGAGGATCTTCAGATTGTCCATCTGCTCTCTGCTCCAATGGGGCCTCAGCTTCCACTTCCTTTCATCCTTCACTCACGCAACAACAGGACAGCTCCAATTCCACGGACAAGCTCAGGTACACACAAAAACACACAGCTGCGAGCTGTTGAATAGGCAGGTCAAATATCAGCAGCACAGAGTTGTATAGACTGTGGGTGGTGTAATACTGGGTGCTGTAGAGAAACTTTGCTTTCTTAAAACCTACATGTCCTCCTGTTGACAAGTTTCAGGCTTTGCTAATGTGTCCCTGGCCTAGACACTTTTCTGTAGGCAACTTCGCACTTTGACACTGGGGAGACAGTAACAGTGTCCTGGCGTGTCACATAAGCTTTTTAATTATTAAACACTAGTATACATTGACATTTCAGTCATACGGTTGTTGTTCTTTCCTACTCCCAACAGAAAGCTGAAGGAGGTCCACAAGCGTTTGAATGAACTCCGGGAATTGGTTCAGTATTATGAGCAGACTTCTGACATGATGGTGGATGCTGTCAATGAGAATGTGAAAGAGGATGACGACGATGATGAGGAGGAGGAAGATGAGACGGAGGACGGTTCTATGTTTGAGGCCATGTTTGACTCTGAGCAGGAGAACCGTCATCCTGTAACTAACATCAGGTGTGTTTGTCTAAATAGATACTTTTATCTAGAGATTAATTATTCTACTAATTCAGTCGATTGTATATTTAAGTAGATTTTCAAGCAGAAATACCAAACATTGGATGGTTTTAGCTACTTAATTGCTGCTTTTCGTTACAACGCATTAAACAGAACATTTTGTAGCTTTATGAAATTGTTTTTATCGACCAAATGAACAATTGAGAAAATAATCACAAGGTTAAGCGATAATAAAATAATTGTTTGTTGCAGCCCAACATTATACACAGATTCAGCTTGTGTTAAAATTGCTAAATTACACTAAAACACTGCCAATGGGAGGGGAAGGTTTGTTACTGTTGGACTCAAGTTACAGTATAATAGTGTTTAGTTTGTGTGTAATTCTACTACTGCTATTGTGATGTGTCCGTAACAGTTAGTGCACTTTGTCTCTTTAGAAACACACAGCGCAGTGGGAACTGGACAGACTTGAACAGCCTGACCAACGGGCGCAGTGTCAGGAGTAGTGCCACTAACAACCGCGATGGCAGACTCAACACGGAGCGTGAGATCAACAATCGGTCAGCAGCCAACCTCCGCAGTCTCAACATCCCCTCAGCCATAGGTACGCTCATGCACACACACACACAGATCCATGTTACAGCTGTTGGTAATCTTCTTTTTGAGTATGCATTGTGTATTATTGCATTTTTTCCTTGAAAGGTAAATGGGTAGCATAAAGATTTGATGATATAAATAAAGTTGATAGGGTTGTAGTTTTAGTTTAGCACGCACAGTAAGTCCCTTAATATTGTAAAAACTATTGGCATTGCTTTTGTCAGCAGTGTCAGACTGTTATCCATCCATTTGCTTGTACTTTAAAGCGGTCTCCTCATTAATGTTTGTGTTTGCAGAGGCACAATGCTTTTCAAACATTAAATCTAAATTATTTGAAAACTTCATCAGAATTTAGTCCATGAATTTTGACATCTGAGATACAATTTTAAATAAAAAAACATAATTTTAGTTTGGTAATGTGGCTTTTGTGAAAGTTTGCTGTGGTTTCAGAAGTTTGTTATTGAAGTTCAGTATTCTGTGTTAATGCAAAATTTAAAGAAGGCAAAAGACATAAGACATAAGAGTGATATATTTAAATGATATAATTTACAGACTAACTGTGTCTAACTGGAACTAAATTACATATCAATGACTTTGCTCTCATTTAGAGTGCCAGTACAATAGAGACGTTCCCTATAATCAGGTGAAGGATGACGATGACGATGAAGACGGTCTTGATAATGATGAAGGGGCACAGGCTGTGGCTCCAGACAGTGAGGCATCGGGGTCTAGTCGAAGAAGCAGTCTGGGGAACGATGGAGGTTTCGTACAGAAGGTTCATCGACAGACAGCGAAGCAGAAACTGCGGCAGCTTCAGGAACTGGTGGCCATGGTTCAGGTGAGGCAGTCGACAGAATAATAAAAAAGATTGTGATGTAGGTGTTACTCCTTGACTACCAGAATGAAATAAAAGGTTTGTAATCATTGATGATCATTAAACCTGACATGTTACATCTTGTTTGGCCACTTATTTATGGGTACAAGAATAAAAACATCTTAAAACAAATATTGAGCCTATGATTGCAAGGAAAAAGTTATTTTTTAACAGCAGAAAAATGTTTTAGTTTGGATTTTTATTTTTTAACAGCTAAGGTGGTGTTTATCTCTGTGCATCAAGAATGAGACATTTTCTATTACAGAATCGGTGGCACAATCTTAAACTGAACATTGTGTAAATTGTGTGATTGTCTGTATCCAGAGTGATGACACAGATGGCACAACAGCTAATGAGGATGAAGTTTTACACCAGCAGCCAAATAATACCAGAGCCACCATGGCTGGGTTGTTGGGGTCTGGATCTAAACAGAATCCTAGAGAACTCAGTCTCTCCAGCAAGGCCAGGTAAGATTTAAAAGATCTGAGAAAAGATGTCTGATTGTCATTATTGTCAATTGTCATTATTTTGATAGATTTTTGACCTGGATTAATTTGCATTAAAACTATTCTGGACACAGGGAGAAGCTGTATGAGGAGAAGCTACGTCAGCAGAAGCAGGAGCTGAAGCAGCTCCATGAAGAGCGCCAGAGACTCATTGAAATCCAAGGCAAGATCCAGGACCTGCAGTGGGCTTGCCCTGACCTCCAGGTACATTACACACACAGGTTTCCTGCCTTGCTCAAATATAAAGTAGAAGAACAGAATCTAAAATAATACAAAATGTATTTGACAAGAAGTAGAATCAGTATGTTGAAAAGAATGTCTTGTGTGGACTAAAAAGAAAGGAACACCTCTCAGTAAAGAAAGAACTACAGCTTCCAAAATGACAGTACAGTTCACTCAAAACCTTTATAGAATAGTTAAAACTTCATGAAGGTAGGATTTATTGCACAGGGTTTTGTATTAGACTACATTAGTTTTAGGTGTACCTAATAAACTGGCAACAGAGTGTAAATATTTTGTGTACATGGTTACATAATTAATGCACATTTGTATTTGAAAAATATGCCGTTCTAACTTTGTGTGCTCTCTTTTGTAGTCATCTGTGTCAAGCACAATAAGTCAGCAGGGCTTGCTGAGGAAGGTTCCTGTTGCAGTTTCCACTCCGGCCACTGTCCAGGCTTCCTCTTCCCCTGGACCCAAAACCAACTCCGCTGTGCTCAAACCCACTGCTCCAGAAGCAGCTACTTCTTCAGTCACTGACAATGAGGTACCAGACTCCACCTTTCACACACAAAGACCCTTAGCTACCACTGGTCAAATGGCAAAATGAGATCTGTACTTTCTGAGCAGCACAAATTACAGTTTTCCCCCTTTGTTTTTGCATCGTCAGCAGCTTTGGTCAGAGATGCGTCGCCACCAGATCTTGCGGGAGGAGCTACGACAGCGCAGGAAGCATCTAGAGTGCTTGATGGCTGAACACCAGAGGCGTAGCGGTCTCGGTGACTCTCCCCAGCGTGTTGACGACCAAGAAGGCCTTGCTACACCCTCACAACCTGTCAGTAGGGATGAGAGGTAGGAGACATACCGCTATAGGGGGCTGTTTCACCACGGGCAAATATATGTCTCAGCTGTTAGTTACTTTACATATTTTAAAAGTAAAGTAGGAAATTCTTGCAGGTAACCGGCAGCACCCGTACAGTTACCACATTGTTCAACACGAGCCTTTATGCATGTTGCGAGAGCTGTCTTTTTTTTTTAGCTGGAGAACTAGCTTACACGAATAGTTATTCCATAGACAGCAACATTTTGTACCATTTTGCTGGTGTCTTATTAGGACAATGGCCACATGGGGTTCCACTCCCTGCCACCTAGATGATGAGGATGAAGATGAGGATGAATATCACTCAGAGATGGGTGCAGAGGAAGAAGAGGAGCAGGAAGATTGTGCAGAGAGCAGCTCAGATGACGACATCCACATCTACTCTTCCAGCAGGAACCAGTGCTCTTACAGTAACAGGAAGAACCAAGCAAGGTCAGACGAGGTGGACATAGAAGGAATTGCTTTGTACTGATCTATAATCTGTCTTTTAAAATAATGTGTAATGTATCTTTTTGGGTCTTTAGCAACCTGAAGCCTCCACTGGCCTTCTCAGGTGAGGGTAGTGGGACTCCATCTCTTCATAACAAGACTAAGGCCAAGCAGCAACAGCAGCAGCAGCAGTCCATAAGTTTGAACCAGTCTGCGAGCCAGCATGGAGGTGCACGGCGGCAAGAGAACCTGCGCTGGGCCTCCGAGCTCTCCTTTGCCGAGGGCTCATGTCACTGGCAGGAACAGGTCAGCCAGCTGCAGAGACAGCTGGACTTCAGCACAAGCATGTGTCAGACACTCCTGCAGGACCAGCAGGTTGGTGCACTAAACAAATACATGCTTGATAACTGACACAAGCTTGCACTAGATTTAATTTGAAGCCATAGTGGAATTGTCAGTGCAGTCAATGTCCTTTACTCATAGCTTTTTACTTTGTCTTTTTAAACATAATGAATCAATTGTCAACAAATAATTCTTGTCCATCACCTTTTTCCACAGACACTCTCTTATATGTTACAAACGCTGCTGACAGGTCAGTACAGCGTGTTGCCCAACAACCTGTCGTCACCACAGGTCCACCTGGTCATGCACCAGCTCAACCAGTGTTACACCCAACTGGCTTGGCAGCAAAACAATGTGCAAAGGTGAAAACAGTAGTATACAATCATGCTTTTATTTCTATCAAGTAGATCATCTTTTGAAATTGTCTGTAATCTGTCATACTTTTTCCTTCAGACTAAAGCAGGTCCTGAACGACCTCCTTCGTCAGCAGCAACAGCAGCATCAGCAGGCGTCGTCCTCAGCAGCAGGTTGGCAGACACAGAAGCAGGGCTCATCCCAGGAATCCAGCTCTGGTCCCTCAGCCTCTCCTGGTGTCTTTCTCCCATTCTCCTCAACCCTGCATCCTTCTGCCAACAACATGTCGACTGCTGCCTTATCCCCGTTCCCTCCCAGTATGACATGCATATTTATGAGCTTAATTCTCACATAAAACCTATCCAGGATGATGTCCCTTAGAAGCAACAGCAAGCTAAAACATATAAATGAGGCTCAAAAGACAGGATTTACAGTGTTGGTTTAGATCAGCTAAAATGGGTTTTGGTTACAATGTGATGTTGAGTGCCAGAAACCTCCTGGCTATTCTAAAATCAATAAAAGTATGACCTTTAAGAGGGCATTGCATGTATGAAAATCTTGGCAACACAAGAAAATGTGAACGCTTATTCTATTAAATATAGAATGAATATTTTTTTCTCTGTACTCTTTCAATTAGTGCAGAAATGAAAGGCCAAACTGTCATGATTTAATAGACTTTTTTCGACCATTAACACTTAATTATTCTTTTATTTCTTTCACTCTGCAGGCTTTAGCTTATATCCACTCTTCCCTGCTCCCATGGGTGAGTTCCCTCAGGGTGCAGCAGGCCAGGCAACCCCTGACCAACAGAAGCAGCAGTTAGACCCCAACACTTCAATAAAAACAGAGTACATGAGTTTCCCTCCTCCACTGCAGCGCTCTCCTCTTAACACCACTACAGAGAGAGGGTATGACCATCATTTTTAGTTTAAATCTATACTTATTCATGAAAACATTATTGTTCATATATTTATTTTCCATGTGACCACTTTTAGAGCGTCTGGGTGGCTTAACACCGCCTTTGCAAACAACACCGCCTTTGCAAACAACACCGTCCAGAATCACCAGTCTAAACCGGAGCCCAGAGAGTCTCCCTCTTCCTCCCCCACTTTTGCCAACCGCCACTCCCGACCACAAGAATTTGACAGGGCTTCACAGGAAAGCTTCAGCAGCATGCCTGATCCCGTTGATCCCACCACCATCACAAAGACTTTTAAGGCCGGGCGCAAGGCCTCTGCACAAGCCAACCTGGCCTCCCGAAGCAAGACACCTAATTCTAAGAGTCGTCGCAGGAGGAGCAAAGGGCACAGCAAGAACAGTGAAGGTGTGGAAATGGAGTTGAATCTTTTGTGTTACATGCTGTAACCAAATTAGGAGAAATCAAAGTTTTTCATGTATTTCTTTTTTGTGTTTTCCTCAGGCCACGACAGTGACAGCGTTAGCAGTACTGCAGACTTTGCCCAGGAGAGGGCACCCCTGTCTCGTCAGAAGGATCAGAATAAGAGTCTGTTGGACAAGCTGACACAAGAGAAACTTGACAGCAAAACTAAGCTTGGAAACAAACGAAATGACCTTTCCTCTGGTATGGGTCAAACTACTTGTACTGAAAGTTATGCACACATTTCACCCCTCTTGTGTCTGTATACTTTGTTTTTCTTTGTATGCATTTAATATCTGCATTTGGCTTTTATTTTATTCTGCTGTTTTTTTCTGTAATTATAACATTTTGTTCATTTGGTGTCATTTTAATTCACATTTCTTTCCACATTTGTCATGACCACGTGTTCCATTTTAATTTTGGGTTCATTTATTTTGTCACTTTAATTTATCTTACTCACAGCCTATGCTTGGAGAACACCCTTCCTCTCTAACAGAATTGCATGCACAGAAGCACCAGGTAAACTCACAACTCCAAATCCATCATTTGGTCACCTAGACATCCCATGTATGTTCTATTTTTGCCTTAACCTTAACCAAAGCTTCTGAGTTTGAGGGCAGACTATTGTTTTTTTTACTCATGGATGAGATTATGCAAGTATCCACCTAAATCTCATACTGTCAAATATTAAACCTGCAGATGCAAGCAGCGACTTTTCACTGTTCGAGGCACTGAGGGAGACTATCTACTCTGAAGTGGCTACTTTGATATCCCAGAATGAATCCCGTCCCCACTTTCTCATCGAGCTCTTCCATGAGCTGCAGCTGCTCAACACAGACTACTTACGGCAGAGGGCACTGTATTCCCTACAGGTAAGTCTAGACACATGTAACTGCTTAAAGCTTATCTGTGTCAGTGTTCAACTGCTGTTTGGATCTAGTATGGACAAGATAGTCAGACTAACTTGCCCTGAAAGAAAACATGGGTTGTGTTCCTATCCGGTCATAAGGGTTGTGTGGCACATGCTATCTGGTCATGTGGTTACAGATAAGATTTTGATCTCTGAAACTGTTTAATATCTCGACCGTTTGATATCTTTATATTTTGAGAGGTCCTATTCAAGAGCGTCTGGAACAGTGTCTCTGCTTTCCGAGCAGACCAGACCTGCAGGAGAGATAATTGAGAGGAGGAAAAAGGGGAATTTTGGGTCTGGTGGAGAGATAAGGAAAGTTGGGCAAATCAAGGAGATACGAGAGAAAAGTATCCTTCATTCTACTTTACCAATGCTTTTGGCATAGTATGTATATGCTGTGAAAGATTGCTCTGTTTATCTTGTGATTATCTTATCTTCAGTAAAGTGTAATTTAGCTTTGGCAATAATGTATTCATCAGCATGCCGGTAAGGAGGTAGATGCATAGCAAAGAGCCCTAATGCATACGTGTGAGTGAGAAATCCATCGTCTGTAATCTGAGCCTAGCCTTAAATATAAATACAAAGTCCCCTTGAGAACTTTGCACAATTACGTCATCTCTCCCTGTTTCCTGCCAGGACATAGTGACCAGGCACCTGGCAGAGAAGAGTGCAGCTGAGGACCAGTTGCCCCCTCTTGGTCCCGTAGCGTGGGCTGCAGGCTCGCAGTCGGAGCTCACACCCAGTGAGAGTCTGGCTACAAGTGATGCAGTAAGAGACACATTATTTCTTCCCAGCATGGCATTCTCTCATGCCTCTACCAGTCCTGAAGTCTTTCACTCAATCTTTTTTTTTCGTCATCCTGTCCTGTGCTTCCCCTTCTTCATTTCAATACATCTTTCATTAGTTTCTCTCTCTCAGCCATGTCTCCTTTCATCCTTCCCTGCCTTGTCTCTTTTCATCCGTCCATGTCTCTCTTTATTCTCTGATTTTAATTTTCCCTCCCTCGATCTTCATTGTCTTTGAATTTAACTTGACAGCAAGACTTCTGAAGCCTGTCTATAAAGAAATGAGCCTCCTCTCTCCATGACTCTTTTGCCAGATTAGACATGTGTTCTTTGTTCTCGGCCATGGTCCCCAGGGTTATGGTAATTGGGAGCCAGGCCTTTTGTCTGTCCAAATAATGCCTTTGTTCAACACTGATGGATGAAATGTCTAATTTTCCAAGTTCGGAGAAGCCACCATTGCTGTTGTTTACAGACAATATATGCTGGAAATGTATCTTGCAAACAACTGGGTGTGCCAGATATATGCTGCGAGTGCCTTGTAACAGAATCTGTTCCTTTTCCAGGAGGTGGTGGAGAAAAACTTGAGGTTCACACAGGACACGATGAAGAAGAGGGATGATGCTGAATCTGTGGACAATGAGAGCACCATGTCAACCTCTTCCAACCTGGAACCATTTGCTAATGATGATCTGGGTATTGTTATGCACATGGACCATTTTATTTTGGGGAAAAAAGGGGCTGAAGCTTGTAAAAACGTATCCCTATCTGAAACCCTTTCCACATCTGATATGCTTTGCTTATAGCCTTTAACTATATTAAATTGAGGAACCCCTTCCCACCTTCCCCAGCAGGATTACCCGGGGCTTGTCTTGGTAGACCAACCAGGTAACACCTCAGGATCAATACAACGTGGCCAAACTAAATAATATTACCTTTGACAAAAAGGACTGTTTGGCAATGAAAAATGGACTCTCAGATTTTGGGAACTTCATTGACATAGATTAGGAGTGAGGCTGGCATACTTTGATCCTGTAGTGTAAACCTGGTTACAGATGCATTAATATCCATTACAGTCTCCTCTCTCTTGCTTCATTGATTTTGAAGTTTTTGGATCCCATTTCTGTCTCTTTTTTTCACTCCCCGCTCTCCTTTCTTTGCTGCTCCGATAGGCAACACGGTGATTCATTTAGACAAAGCTCTGGCCAGGATTAGGGAGTATGAGCGCATGAAGCTTAAAGCTGAGTTTAACCCCTGCAACGCCAGCACTGCAGGTGCAGGTGGCTCTGAAGTCTCAAATGCTGAACATCCTTCTCCTAACCCCGCTGACCAAGTGGAAGGTACCCAGTCATATAAGCCTGCCGGAATGTGCAAAGACCTGTTGCAATGCAATCATTGCCTTTCACTTTGCTATTTAATTTTGCAGGATTGTTGAATAAAATAATGTTGTTTGTGAGCAGGAGCTGCAGCTGGTGATGTGCGGTGCCCTCAGATTGACACCCAGCAGTTGGATCGTCAGATCAAAGCCATCATGACAGAAGTCATTCCTTTCCTTAAGGTAGGTAACCAATACAGGGAGCTGCAGGGTGGAATGTCGTTTTTGCCAGCAGAGGATGTACTGAACTTGAAAATATATGAATTTCGTATACTTGAATGGAACTTATTAAAGTGTGCTTGTTAGTAATTGTTTTGAAAAGGTTTTAAGGCTCAAATTGAATGTCAGTACTGGGCGCACCGCTGTGAATGTGAACAGCTAGTGAAGAGTGAAATCACTCTGTAATGTTCATGTTTTCTTTTATTAGGAGAACATGGATGAGGTGTGTTCCCTCCAGCTGTTGACGTCTGTGCGGCGAATGGTTCTCACTCTCACCCAACAGAACGATGAAAGCAAAGAGTTTGTCCGCTTTTTCCACAGACAGCTGGGAGGCATACTGCAGGTATTACTAGTGCAGATAACAGGTTCTTCAGGTGCAGGTGGTATGTTTAAGTAGTAAATGAAGAACAGTCTGTCTGACATTTCACTCTCTTATCTTGCTCCAGGACTCTCTTAGTAAATTTGTGGGCCGTACTCTGAAGGACTGTGGGGAGGACCTGCTGGTGGAGATCTCAGAGATCCTCTTCAATGAACTCGCCTTCTTCAGGCTCATGCAGGATTTGGACAACAGCAGCAGCATTGCCTTGGCAACCAAACACAAAAATAAGAAGAGGCCCGAGCAAACGAGTAGAGGAAACCATAATCTCAAGGTTAGTTGTTTTTTTCCCTATTCCCACTTTGTATTTTTGGTTAATATAATAAAAGTATGTGTTTATGTACACTGTAGCACAGAAAATGTATTTGAATGAGACCAATTTTACTCTAGCGATTCATTTATTCCTCCATTTAGGAAAATACAGCAGCTGGTGGTGATAAATCCATTTCTCCAGCCTACACAGATGAAGACAAGGTCGGCCATTTTAATACTGATAATGAAATTGTCAATACCACTTATTACACCAGTAATCTGTGTTACAATAATGTCTCTATTTTTTCTTCCAGGACCAAGATGAGGCTGAGCAGGAAGGTGACTCAACTCTCCAAGGGCTTTACCTGCAGACGGAGAGAAAGAACAGCAGGAGCAGTGAAGCTTCAGAGGTTGAAGAGGAAGATGAGGATGAAGGGGATGGACAAGGAATACCTTTGTCAATCAGTGAGTGAAAATATTAAAATATTTTATTTTTTATCCTTTTATACCCCTGTATGCTTTATTTTTTTCCCATTCATTCCAACATGTGTATCCTGTATATATCAAGATAAAGGATTTTTAACCTCCCAGGTTACTTTACTCCTACTGAATTCTTCTGTCATGTGGTTTTTTATCATCGTCAATGAGAAATGTTATTTTATTGTTTAAAAGGTTAAATTTCGATGTCAGTAGTGTTTAATAGTGAATACAGTTTTGCAGGAAAGAAGCAAAGATTCCAGTAATGTTAAGTCATGCTTTTAAAAAAGCTGACAACCTTTTTTTTAAAATAGAAATGCGTACCAATTCCTATTCACTTACTCTTTTTCTTCCTAAATGCAATTGTATGTATATACACATACATGCATGTATTAATTAACACTCATTCTTGTGTGTTGTCTTTCTTTCAGGTCTTTCCAAAGCAGAGACTCAGGCCCTGACAAACTACGGCAGTGGAGAGGATGAGAACGAGGAGGAGGAAATCGAGGAGTTCGAAGCTGGACCTGTCGATGTCCAAACATCCTTGCAGGCTTCCGCTGATGGACAGGTGGAGCAGGAGGTCAATATTACGATAGTCACAGATGTTTGTTTTTGTTTCATAAACAGCCATACCTTTAGAATATTCAACACATTTTCCTGACCTTTGTAATTGTGTCTTCAGGGGACAACATGCAGTGGAACCCAGGAGACCAAAACTGTAGAGCTCAGTTCAAAGAATGATGATGGTGAGGCCTCCTTGATATTTTCTGTGGAATTTTCCATCAAGCTTGAAAATGTCAAACTGGCTTTTTGTCTTAGAGAAATCGTGTTTTTTTATACCCTTTGTTCATCATCTTTTTTTTTTATTACACATGGGTTTTATTTTGTTTTGTTCTGCAGAAAAGTCAGTAGGGATTGTGGACTCCACAGAAGAGGAGCATGACATGGCAGCGTGCCAGAGTCCCGAGGCAGAGAGTGAAGTTGGCGCAGCTGCCGCCTCAGAAGAAAGCTCTGCGGTCTCTCATGGTCAGGAAGTCCCCAAGGAGTCAAACGCCACTAGCAGCCCTGATACAGAGTCACCCGTCATGATCAATGTAGATGTAAGTCCAAGGCTGAAGAGACTTAGTTAAATTAAATAAATGCTCAATATACTTGTATTCATCATCATCTTTCATAAAAGCACCATTACTCACCAGTAACACACTGGATACTTTGCTCTGTATTGTTGCTGTTGTGTTCTGATTTGATCCATATTATTGATGCAGGAGATGGGCTCAGGTAACACCAGTCAGAAATCTGACGAGGAAGACTTTGTGAAGGTGGATGATTTGCCACTGCAGCTTACAGTCATGTGTGAGGTGTGTAACCGCTAACCTACGAAACAATCACAAGATGTGTATATTTAACATTAATTAAAGGGAAGTCGAGGTGTACAATCCCAGTAAAAACATGTTAACATCTAATAATATACTGTGTGCTGTACTGTTTTATTTAGGAGGAACTACAGAAGAGAATAGTGGAGGAGCAGCAGAATAACAACCTGTCTGTAGAGATCCTCAATGGGAACACTGAATCGCTGACTGGGCTGGTGGGAAATGCACATGCACTGAAGGAACCAGGTATGGATTACAGTCTGTGTCAGTCAGTATTACAGTTTTGTTTGTGTAGTTGCCAAATACCCTACAAAAGCCAGGACACTGTCTCCCATGTCTGTACAAAAGTCAAACCTTTTCAAACTAAATGATTTTTTCCTTTATCTCTTTCAGACACTGTTGGTGCCGAGAGTGTGTAAAGATTTATACTGATGTCTCAATCTACTGTTTTTAGCAACACTATGCTCGTACCCTCAATCTGCTTTGGAGATATGATTGTTGATTCTTTATCTGCTAGTTTTAAGGAGCAAAGGCTCATAATATTGGTCACAAGTTAGCTGTGACTCTGTTACACACAACAGATAAAACTAAACATCCACACATAACCAACACTTAGTTCCTTTTATTCCTGAATGTTTAATGTGATTCATTGGTAATCTGGGGAGGGGGGGTCTTTATGCTGCTGGTTACTGACAGTTAAGACTCTTTTGGGATATTTATAGTACTGAAACTCCTCTTCAGATCCACCTTAGTCTCTTCCTTGGTTCTGGGATCAGTTTGACATAAGTTGTGACTTTTTAAATGTTTTATTTGTCTTGGCCTGGCCTTATTGCTGTACAGCTTGTCTTTTCTGCACTTGATTCCCAATTATAAAGAGATTAAAGTAGGATGGAAGTTCAGTTGTAGCCTGACTGACTTCAGCGATTTGTTTCTCCAGCTTGGACACTTTTTTTCCTTTATACCCGAGCTCAAAGCTCAAACTTAACTTTTATCCCTTCAGACACAACTTTATATACTGTTTTGTTCTGTTAATCTCCATTGATTTGATTTGATTTTCATGTAATTAAAATGTTGACTACAATAATAAGTTTTAAATAATAAAATGCTGGAACTTTTGAAAATGGTTGTGTGTTTACAAATTTCCTACACCGGTGTTTTCATGTAGATAACCATGTGGACCTTGTTAATCCTACAGCTTTACGCCTTTGTGTCCTGAATGTTACGGTTTCTTACTGGAGTTTACACCATTGCACAATACAAGAATAGTGCTCATTAATTAACAATGTATTTTGATAATAGATTCATCATTTGAGGCTAATATTCTTTGGTTCCAGCTTCTTAAATGTGAGGATTTTCTGCTTCTTTGTCCTATATCGTAATATTGAAAACCTCTTGGGGTTGGACAAAACAAAACATTTGAAATCACTTTGTCCTCTGGGAAACTGTGGAAAGCATTTCTCTCCATTTTCTGACATTTAATGGAAAAAAACAATTTGTCAGTTTGACTGGAAAAATAACTATTAGCTGCAAATGAGAAACCTAAAACAACAAGCTCACAGGGTAAAAATAAACACCTGAGACACAAGTTAAACCTCAGATTTGGGAATCATTTTATTTACCATCTTTAAAAATAAAATGCAAGTGGTCAGCTGTGAGGTACATTTAACAGTCTCAGTGCATTAAATGGTCAGTTGCGGTGTGACCTAACTTGCTGTTAACAGCTCAATTAGCAAAAACTAAAGCGGGGCCACAGTCTGGAGGCACAAAATGGTGAGTGTGAACTGGATGTGAGACACTTCATATAAAATGGAACAACATTAAGCATTAATTGAATTATACATGAGCATTCATCTCAGGGGTCCCTAGGCCTGTGCTGTGCTCCACTGATAGACTAATCTTGCACATAATACATACATAATTACAGTAAAAACAAGGAAAACACTTACAAGTTTAATTCACTTTTGTATCAATTTCCCTCAGAAAAAGTAGGATTTAGTATTTTAATCAAAGCTTTAAGTATTCCTGGAAAATAAAGCTAAACGACATCGCTGTTGAGACAAACTTTGGTGATTTGTGCAAACACTCAAAACGGAACAACCTGTAGTTTTATCCAAAGATCAGCTGAGCTCGTCTCCAGCACAGTTCCTCCACACAGACATGCATTTACAAACTGATATGGGTGCAGCGGTTGGACCGTTACCAGGGCATGCAGGGGTTTGGGCAGTCGCGGATATACGACTCCAGTTTTCCCTCAGACACTTGCATCAGTGTTGTGTATGTAGTCAACTGTAGAAACAATACACAGAAAAAGTTATTTACACTCAACCAATCTTAAACTTTTAATGACTGTTTTTATTCATTAAAAATCTCACCTTGTTTAGCACTGGTTTGGTTGAGAGCACATCATACATGGTCTTGAGTGTGATGTTCTGAAAAAAAGGTGACAGATCAAAGGTGTCTTACCACTTTGAAAAAAAACAAACCATAACGTGTCAGATTTAAAATCACGAGTTGCATGACCGAGCTTTACCAAAGTCTAAAAATATTCACATCCTCTAATCAGAGGCAGAAATTTGTCCACTTCTGTAGAAGAAGTGGGTGATGTCAGTACTCACTTTCTGTGTGGTCTGGTTCATACACTTCATGCCAGGAGTTCTACGATCATCCAGAAACAAAGGCTCCTTCCAGTGATCGTAGTTTGTCTCCAGGACGTACCACCGGCCCAGCTTCAGGTCGATCCTGAAATACAGTAATTGAATAAAAAAAACTCAACATGCGAGTACACTGCTACTCTGAGCATGTCACTAGTAAATCCCAAATTGTGAAATAGAGTTAAAATCAGGTGATCTGAAAGTACAGCTGTCATCAGTTCCTAGTTGAGCAAATGGTGTTTCTCAAGAAAAGCTGAATCATTGTGACTGACACAAGATACAAGACACCAACAACTCAAATCACTGCTGCATTTCATTGTGATTTTGTAGGCTATACAGTGTTTTTGGTTCGCTTAGGACTGTGATACATCAGTAATTTTCATACATGGTGACTAAGCATTTAAAATCTGAGCCACAGACATCTCTCTATCCAGGAACGCATACGTATACAGTATTCTTTACAGAACAAGCTCTAGTACTTACTCCAAGAGATCGATACTGAGCAGTCTGGACCTGGTGATGATGCAGCCCTGGCCTGTACGGTTTCCTCCAAGGATGAAGTAGGCCGGAGCGAGCAGCTTGGTCTGAGCCAGGAGAGCTTTGGCTTCCTCGTAGCTGGTGAGAATGCGACAAGACTCATTGTTGAAACAGAGACATCGTCACTTAACACGGATAGCCAGCACTCAGTTTACACAACTGGAGAAAAAAATAATTCCCATAAAAATTGACATCCTGCTTCAACTCATAGTTCTTTTAACATTTCATTCATTTGACTTTTCATTCATATCTTGTGCTGAAATGTTTTTAATTCTTCTGATTAATTTGTCACATTTAGCTCTTTTTTTTTACCCCATGCAAATAAACTTGCCTTGAAACAGATTTTAGCATTTTATTTTTCAGGATTCTACAAAAGGTACCCTGGGCAGTTGATTGAAGTAAAATGCATTGTCTAAATCCTTAACATTACACTGGTGCATTTTACAGCTCATTACTGCCATCAGACATAGAAACATTGCTCTCCAGCAACACTAGTGGCAAACAACTCCACAATGTACCTTTAAATATAAAAAATGAATACCTGTTTGCATTTTCAAGGACGGAGCGAGTGAGAAAGCTCATCCACATCCCATCTCTTTCCCCCAAGATCCACTCCAGGATGCCTGCATGTGAACAGATTTAGATGATGACAAATAGTCACAAAACCAAGACCTTCTTTCTAAATGACAATGGATGTAGTACCGAGCCAAGCGGTTAATCACTCACCGATGTATCCGCCATCGAGGCTGAAGCGCTCATTCATAGTCAGAGTGAATATGTGCTACGAGAGGAAGAAGAAATTCATCTTTCTTACAAACCGAACTGTGCAAGTCTCGACAGTTGTTACTGATGTTAAATTGTGTTTTGTTCTGATTGAATCTTCAGTTATATAACTAATTGACTTACAGGCTTGATGCCAGTCAGCATGCCGACATATCCAGCGAAGTTTGTAGACTTGAAGACGGTCTGGTTATTCCTCTTGAAGTCGAGGTTGACCACTAGGGGCTTCAGCTTCTCACTAATGATCCATGACTTGTTTTTCACATCCCAGCTGTGAAGAGGGACAAGTCACTATCATGAGATCTTATTTAAAAAAGGACAAGTTGAGCTTAAAAACTGTGATTTTGAGGGGGTGATTCTTACCCCATGAATAATCCAAAATCCAGATTTCTACCATGAATGAGGTTACCTGTAAGAGTGCAAAACCCCAAATCATTTCAGTATTGATGAATATTTTGAGTTTGTTAATCAATGTGATTCTGGACAATGACCCACCCTTATCGTCTTCTGCAACAATGGATGTGCACACAGTGAACACCTCATAGAAGATGTTGAACAAGACGACTTCACCTTAGATTATATAAATAAAGAAAAAAAGAAAAAGGGAAGAGGTCAATGGTGCATTTTTAAAAACTTTTACTAAACAGAAAGTCGAGAACATTTGTGTTTTCTTACCAAGAGGAATCCCTGAAGCCGTTGCAATTCCTTTGATTTCATCACTAAAAGGGTTTGGAAGTGTGTCCGCCATCAGAGGCTGCAGAACATCATAAAACATTACTGAAGTCATTAAACCTTTCATCACAATAAAAATGTGTCAGTGTGAGGAAAACAGGGTACACAGAGATAAAATGACACCCACCAGCGTAATGTCGACCAGCTCTATCAGCCTCCCACTGGGAACAAAAGCATCAGCCAAGTCTTTGATGGCCTGAATCATGTTGACCAGCTTTAAAGAAAGAGATCATGAGTAAAAAAAAAAAAAGAAATAGAAGTGATATTTTTGTGAGACTAGTTCAAAGCACTTGACAGCGTCCTTACATCTGTTTTTTTGTCCGTTATCAGAGCTGTCCATCTCTTGCTGGGCGGTAAGTCGAGGTCCACTGTGTACCAGCTGACAGCTCCTCTGAACCTGATTAGAAAGAAAAAAAAAAAAGCTGTAAAACTACAGAAACATCAGGATGCAAATGATAACATCTTATTCACAACATCAGACATGATTTTTATTTGACATTTAATGCAGCACCTAATTCTATCTGACCAGTACATCTTAGTTTTATCTCCTGTGGAAACATTAAAGTTTTTAGTTAGATTAACTGGCAACAATTTTGAGTTGTTTTAGTCCTTCATCAAGCAAATGTTGTGGCTATATTCAG